ATATATATATATATATATATTTTTTTTTTTTTTTTTTTTTTTAACATCAAAATTTACCTTTCATGAAGCTGAGTTGCAACCACAACAGTAAACCTACAGAAAAATGAAGGATCATTGTCTAGGAGGTTTTCTGGACTCTAAATGAGACAGGGGAAAAAAATCCAATAATTTCACAATCATATTAAACATAGCAGAAACACAAGCTCTTGTAGAATAAATATGCAACAAATTCCAACTAACATAAATGATACAAAGATTCAAAATTCTAAGTTTCTATGGCATTGAACTATTAAAAATTATTTTCCAGCACAGAAATAGTAATGTGCATACCTCTTCCACAAAACTTCCAGAGACATCATTATTTAGTTCTTGTAAGAATTCCATGGCAGCTTCAGCTCGGTTCTTTTTAAAAACAAAGCATTTGGCTTCAATTAGAAAATACTTATTTACAATGTAAACCCCTTATTTACAGATCAGGCAAAACAGACTGTGAAACTATCAAAATTTCATGTATAGTATGACAACTCTGCTCCTCGCAGTGTTTAAAACTACAGTTCAAGTTGAATACTACTTAAACACAGCTAAACTGTCCTTATCCAGCGTTCTTAAATAACCACATTATTTGCCCTTGACTTTTCTGATTAGGCAAATAACCAAAAACTCTAGGTAGCAGGGAGGGATATCCCGGATCAAGTTCAGACTCACTCTAACCACCCACATCTGCAATCCTATTCAAGTGGTCAATCCTTCAAAGAAATGTCACTTCCATTCAGAATATTAAACTAAGTTCATGAACAAAATTTTGGGGAGGGAAGGATGGGGGAGGGAAATGGGGGCAGGAGAGATGGTGGAATGAGATGGACATCATTACCCTAGGTACATGTATGACTGTACACACAGTGCAACGCTATACTGTGTACAACCAGAGAAATGAAAAGCTGTGCTGCAATTGTGTACAATAAATCAAAATGCATTCTGCTGTCATATATACCTAATACAATACTTCTAAATTCTTAAACTACCAAACATATAAAAGACTTATCAGATTAGAAAAATAAGCTAATTTTTTTCTCAGAAAATAAGCTCTTTTTAAGTCAAAACTTTTCAGGTAATCAAGACATAGTGGCATTATTAGATGCTAATACACAACTGTATTCTGTAACAAATATTTACCTTGCCAATACTGCTTCTTTGAAGGAAAAAACTAAAGTGGACAGAATAAAAAAAACAATTAAAGGCTTATATGGCTATAAAGAAAAAGTTGGTTATAATAACATGTGTATTGCATTTATAATATAAAACAAACACTATTTTTTAAATATTTATTCTTAAGCTTTTTAGGTGGACACAATATCTTTATTTTACATATATGTGATGCTGAGGATCGAACCCAGTGACTTGTGCATGCTAGGCAAGCGCTCTACCACTGAGCCACAACCCCAGCCCAAACAAACACTATTTTGACAACACATTGTTAACAGTCTTCTTGGAGGAAGAAAATCAGATGAAACTTAAAAACAAAATTGAGCTAATAAATCAGTGTTTCCCAAAGTGTGTAATACAAATTTCACAAAATGCTCTGAGAGAAAAGAGTTCCCAGGTTAAAAAAAAAAAAAGAAAAAGAAAAAGAAATTGGTGGGGGGGATACTATATGCTGTATTTCCTTCTTAGAAATTCATAAAATACATATACACATAATATTAAAGTTTTATAGTAAAGAAATTTTAACTTCATTGGACCCACTTCCCAAACTTCTTTGACCATAGAAGCCACTGGCCCATTTAACAGTTATTAACATTTCCTAGACCAATGTTCCTGAGACCACCCTGGGAAAATGCTATATTAAACCATTTGCTTCTGCAAGAAACTAAAACAGATTTATTCTGGCTTCTTCCCACACATACTCCCATCATGTCCCAAAGCCCGGTATGAGGCTGCTTGTTATGGTTTAGATAGGAGGTGTCCCCCAAAAGCACACATGTGAGTCAATGCAAGAAAGATACAAGAGAAGGAGAAATGATTAGATTATGAGAGTTGCAATCTAATCAGTGGAGAGGGATTAGATGGATGGTAACTTTAGGCAGGTAGGGTGTGGCTAGAAGAAGTAGGTCACTGGAGGGTGTGATTTGGAATTTATATTTTGTCTTTGAGGAGCAGCACTCTCTCTCTCTGTGCTACCTGGTTGCCATGTCCTGACTTTTCCTCTGCCACACTGTTCCACTATGATGTTCTACCTAATCTCAGGCCCAGAGCTATGAAGTTGGCTAATCATGGACTTAACTATCAAAACTGTGAGCCAGAATAAACTTTTCCTCCTCCACACTGTTCTTGTCAGGTCTTTTGGTCACAGCAACAAAAAGCTAACTAAAACATCAGTGATCAACCAAATAAGAAAGAAAACAGGACTTTTTTTTTTTTTTTTTTAACCTATACCAATAAAGAGTTATGCTATGGATAGCCAGAAACTTGAAACTACTACCCAAAGAAATGATACTAAAGCTAAATATGAACTAAATTCTGGTTTTCATTGTATTTTCTCATTGTTATTGTCTACCAACAAATACAATGTGAGATCCCAGACTCCCTGAAAGAGTGAGCTTAAAATATAATTTGGGAAGGTTCTGAAAGTCTAACTATGATAATCTGCAAAGAATGATATATAGACCATATTTAAAACTATTTTTATAGAGGTAGTGTATTATGGTGAAAGATTTACCTGGATTAAACTCAGAAGACATCCCCCCAAAAAGGTATTATTTTTCATTATTCTCATAATCCCCAAATACAGTGGTTGTGAATTATATACTAATACCTAAGAATCAACATGAAGATTTAGAAAGTGCACAGATTTCGCAAATAAGGGAATAATGACTATTCCTTTGAATTAATAACAACAAAAGTGGTGATGATGGGTATCTTTTGTTAATGGTCTACTTTCCAGACACTGTGCTAACTAGCATTTGAACTATATTAACTCATTTCCTCCTCCCCATAATCCTAAACACATAGAAGACTTCCACCATATAGTCAAGTCACTGATCAAGTCACTGCTTTCCTAACATACATATGTTTGAAAAGAAAAGAACATACTTGTTTCCAGCATCTTCTCCGCTGACCTGATTTCCATCAACAATTGTAAATGATCCAATACCTGGGAGATAAAATCAAGTTAATCAAGAATATATATTTCTAGACCAGAACTTAAAAGAAGATTGTGTTCTCAATTTAGAACACAACTACCAAATTACATTACCTGGAAGTACTAAGTTTTTAAGAATTTCAGTTCCTGTAGCTGTTGCATGTATTAGGCAAACATGAGCAGATTCCAAAGCTTCTTGCCCATGATCACCCCACAACCTAAAACAAGACACAATTCAACATTTTAAAAATTTTCACAAAAATAAACCTTTCTCACTTGAACAGTGATTTAAAATGTTTTTTATACAGAATAACTGATATGATAACCACAGCACTATGTCAGGCAGGAATGGACTGCGGATTATATGGCAGAGTAACTGAAGATTCAGACAGGTTATATTTTGCATAATTCAAGGAGAAGCATCAAATCAGAACTAGAAACTTGGGTCTCCTTGTTCCTTGTCCATCAAGCTTTTCAAGTGAGACAACTTATAGTACAGAAAGTCTATAGTTATATTCATCAACATTAAAGAAATGTATTGTAACCAAATGCAATGATGAGTACCTGTAATCCCTGCTACTCAGGAGACTGGCAGGAGGATCCCTGAGTCAAGCTCAGGAATAGTCTGGATAACAAAGCAAGATGCCATTTCTTAAAAAAGTAAAATACATCTTGCACCTAAAGCCTAATCTGTTCCCTAGTCATTTCTCCTAGTGGAAAAAGTGGATCCAAGTACATTTAAGATCTTAATATAGGACTTATCACCGGACATCTGCAAAAATAAGCAAAAGTTTTACCAAGAAAGCTAACCTATTATCTCAAAAGCCTCACACCAACTTCTAAAAAGTGCTTTAAAATACAATACCTGACAAACACTTTAATGGTTAGTAGATGCATTAACAAACAAAAAAGTAATAAGAATTAGAAATGTATGTTATGAAATGATGTACACCAGTTAATACAGTTTAACAGGGCAAGGTACATGATCACACATGTGTCATGGCTTCCAGGCCAACCTGGTTACTTCCACCAAAAATAAAAAAATAAAAAACTCTTATTAATTAATTTATCCTTTTTTTTGTCAGCATGGGGGAGGTCAAACCATGAGAAATGCCATAAGTCAAACAAGTAAGTACTAGCAGCCCAGAGGACTGAGAAAGACTTATGTGCCTTCCATGTCACCTGATATAAAGCAAATTCCTCTTACTGTGTGGAGCAAATCACAACCAATGCCCCATTCTTTTTTTTATTTGCTTAGCATCCATCTCTCCATCCTAAGCTCCATAAGCCCAGACCACCCCTTTATGTTCACCACTGGTAATCCAGCGCCTACCACAGATCACAGAACATCTGTCAAATGAATGGAGGAATAGACTGGAAGAACCAAACAGACTGGAAAACATCTGTTTTTTCCAGGAAAGTAGGGCACAAAGACATATTTAATTGACAGAACCTTAGTAATTGGAGAATGGGTCTAAGAATAATGGTGTATCTCTAGGTTCTATGTTTGAAGAAAGGAACCAAACAGAAAGACACTCTTTATCTCTAGTTGGCCTGAGAGCCAGGACCTTGATGACTAATACATAACTTTGCTTCTAATTGCTTCCCTCTGAGACTTGCAAACCAATAAGCAGTTCTCACTATAAAAAATAAAGTTTGGTCCTTTCATGGAATGGACTTGATACCCTCTTTTGGTGCTTGATCATATATGATGACATCTGCATTCAAAACACAGGTATTCCAAGAATTTGCAAGAAAACACCTGGTTACAAGGGCTCTGCCACTTTGTTTCTTCCCCCAGAAGCTTGGGAGTAGTGATAAAACTGAGTACAAGCTCTGAAAAAGTCAAGAGGGCCTGAGTTTAAAAATATGGAGAACTCTGGGCAAGTTATTTAACGTCTCCAATACTCAGTTTCCCCTCTGTAAAAACACAAAAATGTCTACCTTCAAGAACACTCTCAGAACTGCCCAAAGCCCCTAACTAGTACTAGATTGTAGGTCCAAATGGAAGTTTCAGTCCTAACTTCTCTTTGACTTGGGGGCTCCAGGAAGGGGAGGACACATATTTTTATTACCTCCACTGACTCAACACATAGAAGATACTTAATAAGAAGTGGAAAAGCAATAAGGAAAACAGGAGGATGAAGAAGGAGCCCCATGGTTTAATTCTGCCCTATCCATTAAGGCAGTTACTGGCTATACATGACTACTTGGCACCTGATGTGAGACTAGCATGAATTAAGGTGTGCTCTAACTGCAAAATACTTGATTTATAGTATTTTGATTTGATTTCTAAGATAATATGAAAGAAAAAGTAAAATAGTTCAATAACTTTTTATATTGATTACGTGTTGAAAGGACAATATTATGGACATACTAAGTTAAATAAACTACATTATAATAATTTATTTCTCTCTTTTTTTTTACTTTAAGGTGACTATTAAAAAATTATAATTACGTACATAAGTGGCCCTCATGAGAGACTATTATTATATTGGTACTGGACAGAGCTAGTTTAGGACAATGCCTGACAGTCGGTGCTGCTCTCGGCGAATCGGAACGGGGTACAATAGATCCCACCCCATTCTGCAAAATGAGAGGCTGGGAAGCCAGCTGACTCGGAGACCGCGCACTTGGAACCGCAGACCACGTGGCAAGTGGGCGCACTCCTCCGAGCAGGGGAATCCTGGCCTTGCAGTAATACTCCGACCCCGGTCCAGGGCCCAGGGCGCCAGCTCCCCGCGCCTCGCACGGCCGGGCCGGGCCGGGCCGGGCCTGGCCAGAGGCCCGAGGGAGGCCCGCCCCCATGGTCCGCGCGCTCAGGCCCGGCCCGGACGCGGGGGAGCCCACCGGCCCTCCCGCTTGGCTCAGTGAGTCCCGTCTCACCTCAGCTGCCGGTCGTACTTCTGCTCCTTGAGCAGCTTCCCCGGCTGCGCCATGGCCGCGCCCGCCGCGCCACCAGCCCAGCCGCTGCCAAGCGCCGCCGCCGGCTCAACACGCGCGCAGGCGCACCGAGCGCCTTTCGCCACCACCGCCTCCTGCGCGTCGCCCGCAGGGGGCGCCGCCGTTGCACTGCGCACGCGTCACCGGAACGCCCGTGCGACCGCAGCCACTGCAGGGAACCGGGCTGAACCTGGTAGTCGGTTGTGCCTGGATGCCCCAGTGCCGCTAATACGCCAGCCCAACCCTCTGTCGGTGCAGTAATTGTGCGGAACTCGGGCTTTGGAATCAGGCGGACTTGGATTTTAATCACTTCCTGCTGTGAGCATTGCTCTTTTCGGTCCTTAGTTTGCTCACCTGTGCAATGGGAATGAATGGGTCTTGGAGAGAGGGGTCTTTCAGTCTTAAATGAAAACTTTTTAATACACAGGGCCAGACTCACAAAGAATCTTGTATGAAAAATAATTTTCATTATAATGTACGTCATCGTTTACCCATTTCTTTCAACCTGTCATTCAACAAGCCCACACCTGAGGACAGGTTTTTGAACCACAAACCAGCTGCTCCTGGCTGCAAAGCAACGAAAATAATAAATCCGGGTCCTGTTCTTGGAGTGCACAATCCTGTGAGCAGGGAGGGACAGAAAACAAGCGCTCACCAGAAAATGTGTCCTCCCATTGAAGCAAGATGCGGGTGCACAGAAGAGCCCCACCCCACTCCTCCTCTCCAGGAATTCTTCCTGTGGTGTGGTGATGGAAGTGTGTTTTTAAGCAGAAGGAACAGCAGGTGTCATCTGTACGAGGCAAAGTAGGCAAGGTAGGCTTTAGGTACAGGTGAAATGTAGTCAAGTGAAGGACCACGGAAAGAGAAGCCCTACTTCCTGAAAAACTTCTTTTTCAGGAAGAGTTTGGCTGTGCTGTGGGACATGAGGAACTGGTAGAGGGAGGGGGCTAGAGGCTCCATGACCAGCAGGGAGGGAGATAAGGATCCTTTCCTCTCTGTATCCCAGACCCTATAGGCAACTTCATGTTAATAATTGCCTGAAATAAGACGAAAATGAGCACAGATCCCCACTGAGGACAAGGGAAGGGCACAGTTTGACAGTAATCATGCAAGATGATGAATGGCCTTCCCTGGGGCACACCCTCCCATGACTTCCCTTGTCCCTACCCAACCCTCATGGAGCACAACTGATGAGAGACAGAGACATGAAGCTTTCCCAGATCATCATATGCTTATGTGATCACATTTCCTTCTCTATTTGGACAGGTAAAATATAAAGGATAATAAAATACCCTCAGGGAATGAAGGAAGGTCAAAAGGTGACAGGTGGAAGTCCACCGCTTAGCCTCCTAAGCTCAGTGCGGTCAGGGAATGCATGAGAGGAAACATTCCCAAATTTGGTGAGTGAGGGAGGAGGGTACAGGGGGAGTCATACTGCCTATGAAGGAATGCATGACTTTGAAAAGGGTTGTGTTGGTGGTGTCTGTAAAAAGATACCTCGGGGAATTTGTTTCCTAGGACTGCCATAGCAAAGTACCATAAACTGGGTGGCTTAAAACAAGAGAAATGTATTTTTCATAGTTCTGGGGGCTGGAAATCTGAAATCAAGATGTGGGCAGGACTATGCTCCTGAAACCTATAGAGGAGCAGCCCTTGCCCCTTCCTGGTTCTGGGGGTTTGCCAGCAATCCTTGGCTTGCTGCTGTAGCGCTCCAATCTCTGCATCCCTCGTCACATTGTATTTTTCCCTTGTGTCTTGTTCTATGCCTCTTCTTATAAGAACACCAGTCATATTGGATCAGGATTCATCTAATGATGTCATCTTAACTTGATTAAGGTCTGTGAAGACCTTAGTTCCAAAAGTTCACATTCACAGGCACTGGGACATTAGGACTTATTTAAATAACTTTTGTGGGATGTACAATTCAACCCACTGGAGCATTTAAAGATTTCTTCACTGGAGCTGTGGAGGCTGAGTAGATACAACCCCTTCCATCTGGGAATTCAGGGCCTACTTGTGTGTTTCTCCTGCTGTGGAGTGCAGCAAACCAGAGGTATCAGGCCAGGACTCCATGGCCTAATTCATTTAGGTCATTGGTTTACAAAGTGTCATCCTGGACCTACAGCATCAACATATCACTTGGAGACTTGTTAGGAATGCAAATTCTTTGCCCTATCCCATACCTGTTAAATTAGAAACTCTGGGTTAAGGCCCAGGAATATGTAGTTCATTCTCTCTCCCTCTCCCCGCTCCTCCTCCTCTCCCCCTCCCTTTCTCTCTCCCCCCACATAGATAGATATAGATATAGGTACATAGATATATCAAACAGGCCTTTGGCCTTTGACCTGCATCAACTCTTGTGCTCACCCAATGCAACAGATACTGCTGCTAACCCTGCTTTAGAGAGACAGCAGAGACATGAAGTAGAGGAGGGCAATATTAAAAATTAAGGGATGAGAAACAAATACTCCAACAGATCTGGCCAGACCCCTACTCAGGTCTGATATTGTATCCATCCTTATGGTCTCATCCAAGGAAACCTGGATCTATGGGATCCCAAAAGTTTGCATAGGCTATGGGAGGCAAGTCAGGAAAAATGAGTCATGACCCAGAACACTTTGAGGGCCTTAACCAATAGCCCTCCCTGCCGGTCCTTGACCATCCTAGCCCTTGTCACTCTTGTACTCATTGACTGATTCTCACCTCTTTCCCCTATCCTGTAAACTCCCTGAGGGAGCAGTGAGTCTATAGTCTTCAGAGTTGTATTACCTATGCCTGGCCCAGCACTTGACATCTAATAAATTTTTATAAATGCTCACTGAATGAAAGAATACATTTCTGAAATTAATTCCACCATATATCCTACACTTTAAAATGTTACTTGGCACCAGGCATGGTGGTGCATGCCTGTAATCCCAGCAACTTGAGAGGCAGAGGCAGGAGGAGCACCAAGTTCAAGGCCAGCCTGGGCAACTTAGCAAGACCTGTCTCAAAATAATTAAAAATAAATAAATAAATAAGGGCTGAGTATGTAGCTCAATGATAAAATGTCCCTGGATTCAATCCCTAGTACTGCAAAATAAAATAAAATAAGTTACTTGACAATTTGTATACAATCTAATTTGATAATCCCACTTCTAGCATTTATCCCAAGGATAAGGAAATCATCAGACACAAAGATGTATAAATAAGGATGTTTACTGCAGTGCTATCTACAATAGTGAAAACTGGAAATAACGCATGTACCAGAGCAATGTGAGAAAATTTTGTCAAGTTTTCCAAGTCTAATCAAGCAAGGGGGAAAAAAACTGGTCACAAAGCTATATATACAGTACTGATTGTTCTGTACATAGCAGAAAAACCTGACAGAATGGTTACTAAAGTGGTAACAATGATGATTCTTGGTTAGTGACATAACTAGTGATTTAAGTTGTATTTTTAAGTTGTTTCCTACATTTTTTTTCCCCCTACAATAAATAGCCATCATTACTATAGTCAGGAATGTTTGGACTTTTTTTTTTTGTTTTTGAGACTGGGTCTTGCTGAATTGCCCATGTTAGCCTCTAACTTGTCATTCTCCTGCCTCAGCTTCCTGAGTAGTTGGGATTACAGGCATGTGCCACCATGTCTGTTTGTTTGAAGTTGTACATGTGGCCAAGAAGCGAAGGGGAAGGGGAAAGAGTAGAGGTCCTAGGATCAGAGGATTGCATCCTTGGTCCCAGGAGTCTCACAGATTATCACCTCATCTGACCATCCTACTGGTCTGTTAGTTTCAGTGCCTCATGTGTGCTAGGCAAGTACTCTACACCTGAACTACAACCACAGCCCTATCCCATAGATTTTTTTTAAAAAAACAAGACCCCAAAATTCAGAGAAGTGAAGCAGACTTGCCCAGGTCACACAACCAGTGGTGCTAGCTAGGAGTCAATCACAGGTCTCTCTGAATCCACAGTTCAGTCTCCTTGCATCCCTGCATGTACACATACACATATATACTTGGAGTGGAACATGTGCATGTGTGCGTGTGCAGATGCGCATATGATAATGGGTATTAAACTCAATATATGCAATTTTAAGTACAGGGAACAAGACTTCTAGCCCGACCCACTGGCCCTACTCATAACAGCAAGGAGGAGGCATGATTCTGCCCATTGTTTCTGCATTGGGCACCTGTCATTTCAATGGATGTGCAAAGGGATCCCCAGGAAGTGAGCAGGCAGGGACAACCCCCTGATCACCTTGTTTTGTAGAGCAAAACCACTGTCCTCTGAAAGGAACTGAAATCTGGCCAAGATTATTTGATAAGTGAGCCCATTGCTTTTCAAGCTGCTCATCATAGTTTCCTCATTCCCTTTCCTCCCCCATAAATAATGAAAACCAAGAGCCATTGATGTCAGTGAGACCAAAGAGTAAATTCTCAAGCAGATAAATCACTTCAGCTTGAAAGACAGCATGTAATTGAGAGTGGAGGCGTCTGTATGGGGGTATAGTTCCCCCCAAATTGACCTGAGTGGGCTGCTGGGGCAACTGGAGCTTTGCCTGATAAGGGCAGATGTCACTGGCTCCTTTCACTTGCATGAGTTCCCAGCACCCAGGGAAAATTGCTAAAGACAGGCTGCAGAAAGGGAAGAACTGAATCAATTTTTTATGGTTGTTGAGGAGGCAATACACTACTGTATATACTTTAATTCTTTCAAAAAATATACATTCTGATTGCTTCTAGACCTTTTGGCTAAGATGAAGTGTAGAGAGTACACATTTGGTACCCTCCCCTGCCCTTTCTAGTCTCTGATCTCCTCTCTGGAAGCACAACATTCTCCCTTGTTTCTCTAATTCCTTTTTGAGAGAACTTGAATATACATGCAAATGAGAAACACATTTGAAATTCACGTCCTCCCCTGTCTGTGATTTTAGACAATGTTGAGTGAACCGTAGGTTTTTATCCTTGCTCTGTCATTTACTGTGAATCCTAGAGCCCATCATTCAACCTCACTGAGCCTTGCTTTTGCCTTCTGTAAAATGGGGCCCAATGTCCCTAGGGTTGCTGTGTTGATGAAGCTGGA